ACATAGTGACTTTCAGCCTGCTGAGTTTCGCATAAGGCACAGTTAAAACTCTGAACAAACACCTCGAATTGTAAAATGAAGACAGAGCTTTCTGTAAGATTCAAAACATTCAGTTTTTCTTCACTTTTTTTTCATTAAAAAAGCAGTTCTCCGTAACATCTTCCCTGGTTTCTCATCCCCCCATTGCCACCACCCCTGAGGCTTCACTAGTAGCAATATGATTAGGAAATTTAAGAAGAGAAAATACCAAGAGACATGGCCTATGAAGTTCTTCATCTCCTGTTTTTAGGGAAATCATTTTAAATACAGCAATAATTCCAGAGCTGAGCATTAGAAGTTAATGACTCATCAAAAGAACAGGAAATAGGAAACTTTAAGACCTTAAAGGCACAGCAAATAGAAGCTATTTCATGTCATGTACAACACAACCACCCTAACTACAGTATTTCATGCTCAATGGGGGGAAGCAGCATTTGAGATCATCTATCACAGTAATTATGTGATGCTGGAGGGAGCATGACTTTATTTTTTATTCAATTCGACCCTGAGCACCATCAAAATGGAAAACTACAAACATTTGAGAAGTGATGTATTGGCACCAGCCAGCACTTAACCAAGAAAGATTTGGTAAAAAAAAAAATTAAAGTAAATAATTCAATTCTCACAATATATGGGCAATGATTCCCCTGAAGTCCAAGTTAACTGAGATTTGCCCCAATGTAACAGATTTCACATGAATACTTGAAATCCAATTCCACCACATAACTTGGGGCAGAAATAATTCTTCAGGAATTCTCTACAACTTCTGGTCCTCTGCCTGTCTTCAAGCTCAATCCTACAGTCCTTCCATGCAGAAAATTACATCTTTATAACTTTAGTCTACACTGATGCCTGAAGAACAGGTCTGTTTGATAATGTGGAAGAGAAGCCTTCACCCCAAAGAGTCAAAAACCACAGGCATCTCCTTCTGTTCCCATATGCCCTCCTGTGTCATCCTTAGCTGGGCTGCCAAAAAAAACAATAATCAGTCTGGATCTATGGAAGGACAACAATTCTGTGCTTCATATTGTGGAGGCAAAATATTTTTCTATGAGTTATTGAAAGTAGTTGTTTTCAGATGACTACTTCAGCAAACATGAAATATGAATATCCCATCACGTTCCTGTGCACACTCGACTTTTAAAAGAACAAAAAGTCTGAATCTTTTGAGAAAATCCTCAGGTAACAAAGCTGGTGGCAGAGCTGCTCTGACTGACAATCTTAACCTAAACTTCTTCTGGTTTGTGTTGTTTATGAAGGCATTTTATTGCAGAAGGGGGGGCAGTACCCAAAATCCTCACAAGACTACTTAAAGTTGGCTGGTGAAAATGGAGCATTTCAGTGAAATTCGATATTTTCTTTCATCAAAGGCAGGGAGCCTCAACCCACATGTTAACAGTAATGTAACAAGCCTACTGTATGTGCTACAACCCAAGATCCTTTTCCAATTAGAATTCATTTAGGTTGGGGGAGAGGAGGGGTCGGAGCGAAGAGGTGGCTCTGGAATTGATCTGAAACTGGAATTCAACCATTCCGGCTGGGAGCATTAACTGCTCAGCTGGGAATCCCAAACACTTGTTTGGACTCTGCAGCAAACCAGGAGTGAAAGAGCAACGTTACTGAGAACAGTTTGTCCCTGGAAAACTTAAGGAAATGTATACAGAATGTTTCTTTTTCTGCAGAGAAAAAAGAAAGAAAAAAAAAATCTGTTGCACTATGAAAAAAACCAAACCCAACATTCTTTAATTTTCCTGCAACTCAAGTCTAAGTTTGCTTTTCGGTTCCAGCTCCGATAGAATCTCCAGATCAAACTCATTAGTGCTGGTTAAATCCAGGTTTGCTGATAGAAACGTGTGGGACAGCAAACAAAATCAGTATCAGGCCTCAAGAGAGGATGTGCCTCTTTAATTGAAAAAGGCAGAGTAATCATTCATTTATTTAACCCAGAGATGATTATAATCTGAAAACCTTGAAATCCTCTTACACAACAACTGTTTTGGCAAGCCCCTCTGTGTTCCAACAAATATTAAACTGTGCTTGCCATTTGTCTAAGGAATCTTGTATTAATAAACATGAAGAAGAACACTTTTACCTCCCACACTCAATGACAGAAGAAAACAAAGACCAGCTGTATTCATCAATGGATCCTTGTTCTGCACATAAAGGCTAATTACATTTTACTTCAAGCCTACACATGGAAAACTTTGCTGCTGCCATCTTGTCAAATGCAGCTTCTGATATTCCAGCTGACAGACTGCAATGACTGCACATAATAAACTTCTTTTTGTCATTAACACCTTCAGCGCCCGGCACGGGGGCCGGGGGGGGCCCAGACCCACCTGCTCCCTGCAAAAGGCAACGGGGCATTTTTAGACATGGGGCAGATGACAGAACCTAATTTGACTGGAGATTTTCATTCCAGCCACTGATCTCATCCCCAAGGTGCCCAGCTGCACCTCCATGCCTCCCTCTGCACGTCCTTTGAACGGGACATTGAAGATAAACAAGTTGACCCAGTGATCCCCAACTTCAAGATCACGACCAGGACAAAATCCAGACTCCTTAATGCTGATAATGGAGGCTTCTCACTGTGTATTCCTTCTGCTTCCTTGGGTTTTTTTTGGTGGGGTTTTTTTGGTGTGAAAGATTTGCAAAGTTTCAAGTAGTTGAAAGACAGCTTTATTCTGAGACTGAAAAATCTTAAAAGCACTGTTAGCTTTAAAAAATTGACAATTATCTGTTTTTTTTCCTGAAGGCACTCCAATTCATCTGCATCAAATAAGTGTCTGTAAAACTAACAATTCTGGCCTAAGATAAAAATCACATGTTTTTAAAACATAAAATTAAAATTGGCAATACAAGTAGCTTTTCAGACTTAGATCAAAAGAGGGTTTCTTTTTAGAAGAGAATCAAACTGTCTTTCACCCTTTTTATTGGTGTTTTTTCAGCATTTCTCCCAGCTTTTATAATTAAAATACATGACTCAATTTCACTGTCTACATTCAGTTCCCTTTTCATGTTTTTCTAGACTTCCATATTGCAAAATTCGGGCTACAAACGCTACAGATGATTGTTGTTATGCAAGAACTATTCCTGCCATAAATATCCAAAACAATGATAAAATATTTCTGCTGTTATTAGGTCCTACAAGTTTGTTTTCACAGTACATTAGTCTGGGAGATAAAGCACAAGCTTAATGTCTGCTTCAGGATTCAGCTCCATGACCACTATATTCCAGACCCAGTCTTCATAATCATTCTGCCACAGAACACAATAAACTTCTTGTTACTGCAGATGTTACTAATTTTTATGTAATTCTATATATACTAGGTAAGAATCATACTCAAAATCATGAGAATATTTCTGTGTGAATCTCCCCGAAAGAATGAGATTAGAAATGCAAACAAATATTTTAGAGAGAAGACTTTTCTCAGTTTAAGATAAATTACAGCACTTAGGGAAATAGTATTGAAAATGAAGCAAACACTCTGCAAATAAACACATTACAAAGGGTGAGGGGTCATTAGGTTCAGTGCCTACAACCACTGGCCTCTGCCTGTTCCCCCAGAAGCAACTCCAAGACAAAATAACAGCAAAATCAGTTATGTGCAGGAAAAAAATGATGGCTCCACCAGACCCATCATTAGTCAGTGCCTCTTAGAGAGGGATGAAACAATGAGGGAACAAAACCACTTCTGATCACCTCACATGGAACTCATCTTGCGTGGAACTCAGAGGAAACCGGACTTCCAGAGCAAACCCAAAATTTACCTTATCCTGAACGGTGGTAAAAGGTGATTCAACTCCAAGTGCTGATGGATTGTGAACTACCATGGGCTGCATTTGGTGAGCTCCAAGTTCCCCATGAGCTCAGTGGGGAATCAGATCCTCGCCAGTCACAGAACCACGGGCTAAGAAATTCAGACTTGGTGCCAGTTTGACTGGTGTTAAACCCCTGTATTGTCCAGAGTGGCACCAGCCACACCAGAAAGCCCTTTATGGATAAACCCAAGCCCAGGTCACTCCTCCCATCCAACCCAGCCTGTGGATTTTCATGCCCCAACAAGGAGCTTCCAACAGCCTTCACTTCCCATTTCTCCTGTGCCAGGGAGGGTGGTGAGGGCAGGAGCAAGGGTTGGAAGTGAGGTGAAGGTGGGACTCTGCAGGATGTGGGCACAGGGAGGTGACACATCTCCCAACCCTTCCCTTACAGTGTCCCAGCCATCTGAAACGGCTTCTTCATTCCCATCCCACTTCCAGACACAGAAATGACTCTTTGGGCTTTATCCTGCTGATCATGAGAATTCTTTCTCATTATTAACTTTCCTTAAATATGAAGGGTTCAAAGGAAACCAGCAGTAGTCTGTCTCTTTTGTTGTTCCCTGCCCTGATTGTTAATAAAACCAGAGGATAATTGAAAACAGTAGCCATTAGGAAGACAAGAATATATATTTTTGAGACTACCTTCATGTCCTACTTGAAAACAAGAGAAATCTGCCAAAAATGCTACTCTCTGCAGTTTGGGGTGAACCTGACAGAGCAATGACTGCTACCCCAGCAGTAGAAGGAACCAGGGTGCCTAACACTGAAACACAAATCCTTTGCTAAATGAAATTTTATTTTCACCAAGACTGAAAGATCACAGTGAATATTCCTGAAACAGCCCTTTCTCTAAACAAAATGCAAGAGATATATAGTGTAAAATATAAACAGATGAAGCACCTGAGAATGAAACCAGGAAAGCAGCAGCATGTGTGCCAGGAAAAGTCTTACTGGGTGGAAGAAAAGATGAAAACTAATAATCTCTCCATAGGAGGCCAAATTATGACCATGTTTTCCAACAAATTTGGACGCCTGAGCCTCCCCCATCTTGTCTGTCTCCAACAGACAGATGCAAAACAAACAAAAAAAAGCAGTGATACCCTGAAGGGAGACATAGAAAGAAAACAAGAAAATCTTACTTTGCAGTAGTTTCTTCGTCGTATTTTGTTTTCAGATCAAATAGTTCTGTCCTGGTTTTTTCCAAGGCTAAAAGGCATAAACATGAAACATTACAGTACTGAAACAGCAGTATTCAGCCATAAATAAAGCTGTACATCTCCTGATGAAAAATTCTTTGCTGTATCTTTCTACCTAGGTTTATGACTTAGAAAAAACATAGAATTTTGATTTTTTTTTAAATTTTTTATGGCATTTCTGTTACATTGCAAAAAATTCCCAGTTTCTGCTTAACAAAGCCAGACATTATTAATTTCTTATTACACTGGTTAAACTGATTACTTATTTGAAATACTCATTGCAATAGTTCAGGGAAAAAAAAACCTTCTTGTTTTCTCACAGTAAACAGAGCCAAATGTGCCCAGACCTGGAACCTCTAAGTGTACAGGGATGAAAATTTATGGCAAGTCATAGCAACAGGTAAGACACAGTGGTAGAAACTGGGTTCACACAGATCACTACACAGTTAGTTCAGGAGTGTGTGAAGGCAGAGGAGAACACACCTGGATGATAAGTTCCATGGCCTGCTGTAATTTCAGGGATACTCTGATGCTGCAGGTCCTTCATGGACTTGTCTCCTGGATTTACCACCAGACTGGGTGGGAGCCCAAAAGAAGCTCTGATTCACAAAGCTCTGCTGGATCTCCCTGAACTTCCAGGAGCTGGTTCACACACAGTCCTGATACACCCAACGATCCCTCTCCTCTCACCTCCCAACCTGATCACTGGAATAGGTCAGAAAAGCGAAGCCAAACCTGTTTGCAAAGCTTGAACTTTGTGTTCGGCCTCCTCCAGCTTCGAGGCTGTCGACATCTGTGTCTCCTGCAATTTTCTGCCAAGGGAAGAAAGACAAGAGGGGAGAACAGAGCTCGTAATCACCTTAAACAGCTTCTCTGGGCTTTGCAAAGTTGGAAGATAGAGCGAACAAACATCTCCACTGTAATCAGACAACTGCCAACACCACCCAGGCTACAAGGTGCTTCAGTGGGACCCCTAAATCAGGTCAGGTTGTGATCCTGCTCGTACTTTGTGGTCCCACTTATTAAAATTTTAACAGCGTAGCCACCTCATAACATAAGCTGTGAACATTATACAAGAGTTGACTGCTATATAAATGACAACTTCAGTGGAAGGTTTTCTTGAGCATAATTTGTTTAGGAAATGTCACACACATCGAGAAAATTGTCACCAAGCACCCTCTGTTGTACAAAGTTAGTACAAGAAGAATGATACATTTCCATTTTAGTGTCATAATGAAGGAATTTGTTGCCATAACTGATGGAGTGAATGGATGCAGCAGCTGTCTCATCAGAGCTGTAATGGGTGCCAAATGCAGCAATATTATTAGCTAATCTTTAAGAAAACACATATTTCAAAACAAACCTCACACCGATATTTTCTATATAACATGAGAAAACCTTTAATATGCTCACATTTCTTATGTCCACAGGCAACATTTTCTTGTTTGTGTCAGTTCTACCCATTTTAAAATCATCTGGCCATGGAGGCACTGCACTCCTTGCTAAAGGCCAGGTTACAGGAGTTATAAAACTCATCTCTGAAAGGAGCTGCTCCAACATCTCCCAGGAGTCACTGCTTTTTACAACATTGCTTTTAGGATATTCTGCAGATTTCAGAATTGTGAAATGGCTTATGAAACTACCAGCATCCTGCTTGCACTCCATAGAGTGCATAAATTTATTCCCCAACACTGCTGACCAAGTTAATAACTATTTATAGCAAGAACCACGCGTCAGTTCCCTTCAAACTGAACTATATATTTTGAGACCTCAAAACATCTTCTACACAGTTTTATTCGCATTCTACGACCTGCCCTTTTATTTTACTTTTAAGGGTATCTAAATTGCAGCTGTTAAAGCCACTGCTTACAAGCTACTTACCAAAAAGCAACCACAGGTATTGAAGACTTACAAAAAGCTTTGCATTCACACTGGTACATTCCTCCCACTCAGACCTGAATTTAAACAACCAACCCTCAGCTAAAAAGCTCATGTAAACTGAAGGTTTTCCACGCTGTGTTGAACATATTATAGTCCAGTGTTATTGCTCCATGGGAGAAGTAAATTCTCAAGACAGGGAACACAGCCTGAAAGAACTCCCTCTTTAGCCCCTCAGTCTTGTCCTGCCTGATTTGTTTGCCCACTAATGTGAAGATTCAAACACTCCCTGCTCATTTGCAAGAGATTAGAAATGCATTAAAAACGCTTTAAAAAAACTGAGCAATTATTAAAACTCTTCTTAATTTTGGCACGTAGGAACACGCACAGGAACATGCAAACCTTCCCGGGATAGTTCAGGTGCACATCCCCTCTCTGAGGCATTGCCAAGGGAGCAGGGGTGATGCACCTTTCACCCAGGCTGTGGGTGCTTCATCTCCAGCAGCTCAGGGTTGTGCAGCCTGTACCACGGTTCTGTGACACAGCAGGCTGAATTACCCTGTCGGCTAATGGAGACAGATTGGTGTCACAGAGGACAACACAGCCAGCGAGGAATAAAAGCAGGTTTGCACCCTCCTGAACACGACACCCCCCACCACACCTCGGCCAGGAGACAATCTGTCCTTGTTTTACTTTCACACTCTCACGACTGTTTCGCTGTGCAAAGCTGAGTATCAAATGATTCCGTGTCAAACACGGAAATCGCCGGAATCACTCAATATACGAGCTGTCTCCGCACGCCCCAGAGTCGGTCCTGGCTGGGGAGATTAAACACAAAAATACATCTCTCCTCCTCCACAACACCCACACTCACCTCTCCTTCTCTGCAAAATCATTTTGTAACTTTTGTTCCTTTTCAAGGGCTATGTTCTCCGCTTGGTTCTTCAGGGTCTGCTCATATTCTCGGATTTTCTCTTTAAGTGCTTTTATTGTAACCTCTACAGAAAAACAACGGGGAAGAATGAGTTTACACAGCTCCACGTGGTTCCACAACACAAGGCTTGCTTTACCCTGTAGGCTCAGTGTGTTTTAAACTTTAGCTCTTCAACTCTGACACAAAATCAATGGATATGAGTCCCTTTGGAGACCTTTTACTCCCTAAATGTTAAATTGAACTTTAAGTGTTTAGGTTGGGAAGGATCAATGGAGTTTGCTGGAAAGCAGAGTGAAGAAGGTTCCTCTAACATGACTTTTTTTAAAATAAGAAGGAGAAAAAAAATCAATTGTAAAATATAATATCACCTTATTGACTAGTCTAAAATTAGCTCAGTGCTGAGTGAAGATTAATAAAGTCCCGGTGTAGGTTTAAGTACAGATGTACACACAGGACACTTAATTCACCTAACTGTGCTCGTGCCCAAAGAGGCAGTTCCACTATGGTTCGTGCACAGATGCAATCTCACACTAATTGAACACATATCTGGGATACAGCTCTGTTCTGCTCCACAACTGATGAGAAATGCTGCATTAACAGCAGCTCAGACCCAACACACACTCTGCAGCTCTGCACATCCCAGTTGCTCTCACTGCCTCATCATCCACACCGGGCTGTACACACAGGCATTAATTGTTTTAACTTTCTGAGCACACTTGTAGCCTTCCAGGGAATTTGCAGAACTCCTTCTCTTGGATAAAGGAGCTATCTTGCATGGATATCCCATGCCTGGATATGGAGGAGAGAAGATGCATAAACCTGCAGAGCTACGGTTCAACATCTCTTTACGTGCCCTGATCCGCTCCTACGTGAAAGGCCTTTGATCCCACCCACAGGAAAGGACTGAATCCTTATAGGGCTCCAAAGAGGAAAAGCAGGACATTCACCAGAGTATGCTTTGTAACAATAATGGAATTTGGAAAAAGCATTGGACTGCCAGAAGACTCCCAGCAGCAATACAGTTCAGTGTACTCACACAGGGATGCAGGCGGGGGGTTAAAGACCTCAGCTTATTAACAGATGCCATTACCAATGATTGAAGGAAGAATAAAATATTTTGGACATAAAAAGTTTTATACTGTGCAGAAACAACATAAGAAGACACGCTCTGATACGATAAATAAAGCCTATGGGGCTGGGGGGAAAGACCTCAGTAGTATCACACTAACCCACACAGAATCCTTTGAAAATCCAGATGTTTAGAGATGAGTCGAGAACTGTAAAGCAGACAGGAGGTAGCTGGTGACATGATCTGCTGTCTGGGCATTACCAAAGACAGCCTGGACCACTGTGACCACAAAAAAGGGGGGAGGAGAGTAGTAAAAATGCCAAGCAAACCAGCTGCCTCCGAGAGAAGGAGCAGGATTTTGCTGGCTGTGCAGAAATCAGCTGAGGCTCGTTACTGAGTAACAGGCCATGAAAAGGACACACGTCACTTCTTTTTCTTTTTTTTTTTTGTTTTTTTTTTTCCCCTCAGCAAAGGGAAATTCTTCTCTGAGATCCGGGAAGTAATACAAATTCTGATCTTTTCCTGAATAAGCAAAATGCTCATTCCTACGGACAGCGGGTGCGCTCAGCACCGGAGCCACCTTTGCTCCAGGTGATTTCAGGCATAAATCTGCCAAAATATCCAGGTATGTCAAGAAGCAGAGAGCAAAATAATCTCATGGAAATGCATATAACTGCATCTTGACTAATGTTTGAATGTCTAATTTTAAAAGGAAACAAAACCACAAAAACGAACGCAAGAAGTGCACAAATATGGGAAGAAACGTGGCTTTTGTAATAGAATTTGTTTTTACATTTAAGTATCTAACAATAGATGTGTTGGACAAGTACAGTTTAATCCTCTACATTGCTCGAAGCACTGAGTGCCTTCTTCACTGCTCAGGTCAGCTAAAGCTTGTCAGCCACTGCCATTTATGCCAGTTTTGGAAGAAGTTCTTACAGGCACTGTACAGCTCACACACAGCCCTCCAAACCAAGAGATTACCTGATCAAAGCACCCTCAGCTAACAACAGGCTTTTCCCTGCATAGCTTATTAATCCCTGTTGGAAACAGAGAGTACAACTATTGCACTGGAGTGAAAAACAAGGCAAAGGTTACAGTGGGAAAACGGGAAGGAAGTGAGAGCACACCAGGGAAAATTAAAAATGCCAGTTGGTGAGTGGTTGCAGCAAAAAACTCTGGAAGTCAAGAGCTTTTCCCCTTTCTGGGATGAACCCCTATGTCCAGCTTGGATGAACAGGATGCAGAGTCTCAGGAAAACTCTGCACAGGGAACTGCAGTTATTGTACATTTACGGCAAAAAATACTTTTTTAGAGTATACAGGCTTAGAGCATTACAGTTCCCACATGACATCTCTTCCAGTCCAGCCCAAATCCTGGCATGTTGATACCTGTCCTCTTCAGAGGTCACACCCTCTATGTCAAAATATATTCAAAATATATAACTGCATATACGTTCCTTCTGCTGAAAATGAGATGTAACAAAATCAGCTGAGTTGCTAACGCAGCTTTCAAATGTTACTTGGGTGCAACAGTTCCATAATATAAAAAATAAAATCTCCATTTTCCCAAATGCCAAGACAATTTACCTTTCCACCACTCAGAACTGGGCATTAAACATGGAAATGAAAAGTCCCATGGATAGGTAATGAGGTGTACAGCTGAGTAAAATTTTGTTTCCTAGTGCAGGAAACTTTATTCTGAATCACAAGAAAACTTGAACAGCCTTAAAGCCAACAGGCTTTAAATCTCATTGAGATTTTCATGTATTTTCATGTACTCTGGTCTCATTAAAACTTAAATAATTAAACAGTAATAGCTTGTATTTACATTGCTCTGTGGATAGTCTCTAGAGTAAATATAAAGTAAGTATGCTGAACGTACTCCAGTAATACATTTAGATAAGGGAAAACAGAGCACAGAAAAAGTTCCATTTTGTACAGATTTGTATGTGTGTCTAAAATACTGATTTTTTTGGTGCCTGTCTGTGCAAGATGCATGTCCTACAAGCACCCACACCCACGTTCAGCTTGATGTCAGTACCAGCACCGCCTCTCATAAAATGTCACATATAACGTCAGTCAGGTGTCATTTTCAGGGCTGAAGGCTACAACACAATATGGAGAATAACAACTCCATCCTCTGCCTTGGTGTTACAGGAAATGAAATTTTAAACAAATCCAAAGAGTCTACCCAAAGTCATAAATACAGAAATGGCTGTAACAGACCACTGTACTTTCTATACTGAATTTCAGTGCTACTGTCAACTCTCCCTGCACGAAATAAAACCGAATTTAATCCCTGCCTTCAAATTTCAGTGATAAGAGCTGATAAAAGAATACGTTTGCAACGTACCCTGATTTTTCACCTCGGCGAATTCTTTATTGTACTCCTCTAGAGTTTCCCTAAGTTTCTGGTTTTCTGTTTCAATATCGTGCATACGTTGAACCTTCAGCTGAAGCTGCTGTCCCAAATCCAAGGCTGGAACTGGATCTGAAAGAGGAACAGTGAAATGAAACATAAGATAACAGGAACACATCTGTGATTCAAGCAGTTCAGAGCTCAAGAGTCCTTTTTTATCTGTTAATATACATTTTAGTGCCAGTAAGGCCCTACTTAGAGTTATCAGACCTGTACATTCCTCATATCCTGCAAACTTCAAAAACCAGAAATATTTCATTGTATCTGTGTTACCCCTTAAATGTGGAGCCAGGCTGGGAGAGCTGGGGGTGTTCAGCCTGGGGAAAAGGCTCTGGGGAGACCTGAGAGCCCCTTCCAGGGCCTAAAGGGGCTCCAAGAGAGCTGGAGAGGGACTCGGAACAAGGACATGGAGGGACAGCACAAGGGGGAATGGATTCCCACTGCCAGAGGGCAGGGTTAGATGGGATAATAGAAAGAAATTCTTCCCTGTGAGAGTGGTGAGGCCCTGGCACAGGTTGCCCAAAGAAGCTGTGGCTGCCCCATCCCTGGAAGTGTCCAAGGCCAGGCTGGATGGGGCTTGGAGCAACCTGGGCTAGTGGAAGGTGTCCCTGCCCATGGCAAGGCATGAAATGAGGTAGTTTTTAAGGTCCTTTCCAACCCAAACCGTTCTAGGATTCCATGACATTGGGACATGCCTTCTTCATCCTGGTGTTAATCCACAGGGAGTGTTCCTGGGTGCAGACAGTCATGATACCAAAGGCACGTGAGAGTGTTCAGTTTTACATTTTTGTTCGCAAAATGAGAATTTTTGTGTAAAAAGCAATTAAACTGCTCAGCTCACAGACAGCTACTGTCCCTCACACACCTCTGCTTCTGCAGGAGTGAACTTCTGAAGCAAACTGTGCCCTCCTGCACAGCAGAGCTCCAAGAGGTTATTTGATCATGGAGATCTGAGCTGTACTTGTTCTAACTGACAGATCAATAATAATCAGAAATACTGTGTGGATGTAAATAACTCCATGAAGCTGGGGGTTGGATCCCTCTGTTTCTAATACTATTAATCAAATTTCCTCTCAAAATTAATTCTCTGATGCTCATCCCTTTCTGATAAAGAGGGTCCCCAGCACACACCTGACATGTGCACGTGTGATTTATTCTGGGACTTCTTCCCAGAAGAATAAGAAAACACTGGAGTGCAATGGACTTATAAAAGATTATTGAATATATTTCTGCTGTGGGCGCCAGCATCTCTTGTGAAATGGCTGCAAAGATTTAGTCTCCTGTTGAGGAATGCTAAACACCAAACTCAGTGGATCAACAACAGTATATATTAGGGAGTTCACTTAATTTTCAACCACCACAGTCATTAATTTTTCAGACCACCCTCAGTCTCTGGAAACACATAATAAGTCTATTGTACCTCTGTTAACACATTAAGCATGAGCCTGTGTGTTTTTTCAATATGCCAGCGTTGTTGCATAGTTTATAAAAGAATAGCACTGGGTTATGTTGAGCTCAGAGACATTCTAAGTAGCAGCCTGCTGCATTTTGTTACTCCAGTTCTTCAACAGCTTATGGCATTACCCTGTTCATAATACAAAATCTAGGTTGCTTGTCATCTGTTCTCTGTACATACATAGTTTATGACTACATAGCTTTTTCATTTATGCTTTTTAGGCCAAATACTTTTCGTTATTATTATCCGCATTAAAATATTTATAATAAATCAAACTTAAAATGTTATGGTGGCAGAGACAGGGGGGTACAGGTAAGGAATTAAATATAAAGTCGAAGTCACAGCAGTAGCACGAGTTAAAGGCTCTGCAGTATTTATGTATGGTCCAATTACGGCGTGGGCTGTCACAACATCCCCCTCTCCCATGGAGGTCTGCCGACCTTCGTCCGCGAGGAACGGTTTGTCACACTCCTGCAGCTCAGCATTTCTCCCGGAGCGCCAGCCCGGGACATTCATCTGCTGAACGTAAAGAAAGGCTGGATTGCCTCAATCCATCCACATCTTGAATTGGTACAGGAACCACGAATCGTATCAGGTTGGGGACCTCAAGCTTCGGGATTTCTATCGAGCGGTGTTGAAGCGCCACGGTGAAAGAAACTGAACCTCACAAAATTGTTTTAATTAATTTAATTCTCGTTTTAACACGCCCATTGTAAAAAGCCAGGACACCCACAAGAGGCATTTTGCTCCGAACACACAGGGCTTTTTATATTGAAATCAGTAAAGAATTAAAGGGACAAAAAAATAATGTGGGCATTATGAAGTGAATAATGACTAAACCTTAAGTCAAATTTGCAATCCCTGAGAAGCTTTATGTACAAAATGAAAATGCTTGCAATCTCATAATTATTCATCAGGACATGTATATTTAATTTAGCTCTATTAAAGGTTAATGTTCAAGTAGCAAAACAGTGGCAGAACAAACAAAATGTAAAAGAAGTCTCTGTGCATTAAACCTCAAACTTCACTAGAGCCTATTTGAAGGACTAATGGCCTGCAGCCACTAAATACTGCTGGAGGACATGTAAAAAAACCCACGGCTGAAGCACCTCTTAAGACTTAATTTTTATAAACTGCATTAAAGAAAACTAATCACTATATGACAATAAAGTAACCAAGACATTTCAGGCAGAGACACAAATAATTTCTTATGGCAAGCTCCAACATGCTCTTTTAGCTTAAAAAACCTAAAAACCTGTTATTTCTGGAGTATTTATGAACACCGATTAACCTGAAACAAGTATAAACCTTACAGTCACGACGACTTTTTTCTTACCTGAGTGGAATGGATTTAAAAATAAATAAAAATACCCTCCTCTTCTCAACATATGCATGCATGGAAAAGCATACCTTTTTATATTAACCAGGCTTACAAAGTATGTTTCATGTCATTTAACAGGAGGTCACTGAATTTTTAAACAAGCAATGGACCAAAACTTTCGATTCATTACACAAACAACAGGCACACAGGGCTCAAAAAAATCAAGTGGCCCTGGCTTACGGGGAGAGGTAGCAAAGGAAATGCCCTTTCTGTGGTCTGTAAAAGAGAAAAATCACCTCACTGAACACTCAAATGTGGAAAACTCATCACACATTATTCTCTTAGTTTGAATCTTCTCTTGCAAAAGTTCTGGATCCCTGCTAAGCACAGGATAAATAAAAAGTGAGAAAACTGGTAAAAGGAATAGGATCATTCAGAACTTGAAGAAGTGTTTTGCAAGATCATTACTGCCCAAGAGTAAACCGAGATGTCTACTTTTATACTAAACTTAGTGTATTTTTTTCTATTTCTTCCTATTCTGTTCATTTTTCCTAAAACACTTGTTGCATCCCGTACCCACAGAGAAGCCCTCTGCATCCTGTGTTCGTACACAGCCCAGCACATCTGGATCCGATCCCTGACAAGGCTTCCTCCACACCACCACAGGAGAAACACTATTTTAAACCCAGGACCTGCAAAGCCCATTTCTGCCTTTCCTTCCCAACGGATTCACCACCATCCCTGTGCTCACCACTGGGACACCACACCGTCCCCTCGCAGAGGAGCTTCCATCCCCACAAAGGAGGGGGACGGACACATCTCGATGGACACAGACATGAAAAAATTAATGTTACAAATGTAAAGTAATTTTTGTAGCAGTTAATACTTCGCATCAAACGAGCTGGAGCAAACCAGCCACAGCAACACCTCCGAGGCTGTTCTCACACCACACACATGCCCTGATGATGCATCTTTTTTGAACAGCAGTGCAAAAGAAACAATTTTTTTTTGCTGCTGCTGCTTATGCATGTAAACTACTGACTTTATGAACAATTTTAAAAGAAACTCAAAGGTGGATCTTGCCCAAACTGTAAGTTACCTGAGCAGGGAGAGGCAGCCCATCATCACCCTGGGTGCGGTTTTGGGTGCCACAATGTAATAAAAATATAAAGCTATTAGAGAGCACCCAAAGGAAGCTGTGAAGATGGTGAAGGGTCTAGAGGGGCCATACGAGGAGCGGCTGAGGACATTTGTTTTGTTCAGCCTGAAGAGGAAACTCATCGGGGTCTGCAGCTTTCTCATGAGGGGCAGCTCCGATCTCTGCTCTCTGTGACCAGTGACAGGACCTGAGGGAAAGGCTGGAGCTGTGTCAGGGGAGGGTTAGGTTGGATATTAGGAAAAGTTTCTTTCCCTGGAGGGTGGTTGGGCACTGAACAGGCTCCCCAGGGCAGTGGGCACAGCCCCAAGGCTGCCAGAGCTCAAGAAGCATTTGGACAATGTTCTCATGGACAGGGTGGGATTGTTGGGGTGTCCTGGGCAGGGCCAGGAGTTGGACTGGATGATCCCTAAGGGTCCCTTCCAACTCAGGATATTCTCTGATCCTATGACCCGCTCACCACCCCATGTCACTCAGCCCAAACCCAACCTCACCCCTGGACATACAACAAGGTCACTGACGACCACCCCAAACTTCCAAAGTGAGTTTTGTTTCCGAACCCCTGTTCCTCCCTCCTTCTGGGAGCTGGGAGAAGACGACGCAGCTCTTACTATTAATAATTTAACCCTGGCGTTTACACCACGAGCACCGTCGCAGGGTTGCCCTCCCCGGTCATTAGTGGCCGTGGGTGCCCCCCGCGCGCCCCTCGCCCGGTGACATCCCACTCCCGCCCGCCTTCCTTTTCGCCAGGGCACTCTGGGCTAATGTAATCATACGATTACATAATTAACCCAGCTGTCTCATTAAGAAAATCAACTGGAATTCAGGGCATAATTAGTCATACAGCAATTAGCATGCTGATGAGCAACTGATGAAAAGCTGTCTCGATATAGAGTATGCTGGGACCACCCTCGTTATTTAAGGAGAGGGGGGAAAAGCCCACCTCGGCTCACGGAAAAACAAGCTCGTGCGGGACAGGGAACGTTTAAAGTTAATGTTTAACCCTTTGGCCGCGGGTGTTGTTGCTGTGAGGGTCCCACACACACACACACACACACACACACAGGGACCTATGGTGGGATGGGCTGCGGGAGGAAAATTTGCCAAATGAAGTGGAAAAACTGTGTCATTGTTTAAAT